GAATCATCATTGTTAACATCTACTCAATGTTTCCAAACTGTTCTCACTGCTTTATTTATATGATCCCACTGAATCCTCAAAATAACTCCATAGATGGGATAAGTACTCTCATGACGCCCGATTACAGATGGAAAAACTGAGGTTTATTCGTTTGGGTTGGTAAGCTCTCCCAAGTTCAGAGCCAGGGTTCCAGGCCAGCTAGCGGGGCAGGGCTGGTGACAGATCATTCCTGCGGCTCCGGTGGCAGGACGACCAGCTCGCGGTGGAGCATGCACGCGGAGCCCTTGTGCACAAGGCGCCCAATCCCCGGGCCGTGAGGACCACGAGAGCCAATGGCTCGGAGCAGTAGGCCGAGGCTCCCGCTCGGGTGACAAGAGATGACACCGCACCTCATTTGCTGTGCAACGTTTGTGTAATTAGACACATTAGGCGCCGCAGAGGAGGCGTGGGCTACAGCAGGGGCTTGACGGATCGGGTGCTCCACCGGGTTCCTCCCGCATTAATCACACAAGCCAGAGCCACAGGGCCGTTGTTTTCTTAGAGGCCTCATCCTGTTTCCCAACTGAGGCACGGAGGGGGGAGGGTGAAAGGGTCCAGAAGCACTCGCCGTGTCCCCCTGTGGCCGGGTGGGTACCGACCATCCTGAGGCTAATGGGGAGCCCCTGGGAGCCCACCCCGGCAGGGCACGGGGCTCTGGGAACACAGCGCTGCTGCCCATCATCACTTGGGTGTTAACCCGGATAGCCCGGCCCCGGGTGGGGAGGGGAGGCCAGCATGCCCGCCTTGCAGGGATGACACGGGGCAAGTCGGTGTGCCTCTCTGAAGCCCAGCACCTGCGCTCACGAGGCCGTCAACAAGGCACACCTGCCTGCCCCCAGAGCCCGGCTGCCCCAGGCCCTGCACACGCTGTTGACACCCTTTACTGTATTCTACTGGGTGATGCCACGCTGGCCACTGGGGCTTGGTGATCCCAAATAAGCCCCAGAGCTGTCCCTGCCCGAATCCCTGGAATCCGGGACCGTAACTTTCTAGGGGAAAAGGGACTTTGCAGATGTGATGGAGTTGAGGATCCTGAGACAGGAAGATTATCCTGGATTATCCGGGTGGGCCATCAAAGCCATCGCCCGCCCTTTAGAAGGGAGGCAGAGGGAGAAAAGCATTACGGAAGAGGAAGAAGGATGCGAGGACAGAAGCAGCGGTGGGGGGGGGGAGGCGGTGGAGAAGGCTATATGACCAGAGGCATGGGTCCCCGGCTGAGGCACGCAAGTGGCCTCCAGAAACTAGGGAAGTCAAGGAAATAGAGTCTCTGCTAGAGTCTCCAGAAGGAACCAACACCCCACCAACACCTTGACTTATTTCAGACTTCTGCCCTCCTTCTGCCGTCCGAGAGTAAGTATCATTGTAAGCCACAGGGGAATCTGTTACAGCAGCGACAGGAGACTGATACACCCCCCTTCAGGCATCAAGTCGGTTCAAGAGTCATCTGGGCCAGTGAGTGACAAGGCCATTTCCACAGGCCCACTCGCCTGGCCAGACCTCCCCTGCTGCCTGCCATGAAGGTTTTCTATTTCTCCGGGTGCTCTGCCCATACCTCACCCCTCAGTGGCCAGGAAGGAAGCAGGCCCAGAGAGGGGACATGACTCGTGTCCAACCCAGGGCTGGTGAATAGCAAAGCCTGGAGAAGACTCAGGGACTGCCTCCTAGCTCTCCACCGGCCCAAGGTGGGGACAGCACCGAGAGCTCCCTATCCAGTGCCAGGGCCTTGCCTGCAGCAGCATCCCAAACATGAGCCCCACCCCAGTGTTTCTGACTCATCAGTTGGGCCTGGGGCCAGAGAATCTGCATTCCTCACAGGCTCCCAGGGGACCAGTGGTCATCCATGTGCTCCCAAGGGAGAGGCCTGGGCTCAGGGGGTTGTAATTAGGTTTCTAACCCTCCCACTCTGTAAGCCGGCAACCCTGGTGGTTAATATTTCACCTCTCCTTGCTGCCTCAGTTCCTTCCTCTGTAAAATGGAATGATACAAAATGCCCATCTCTCAGGGTTGTGAGAGGGTTAAGGGAGATGAGGTACGTGAAGTCCGTACAACAGAGCCTGGTCAGTAGGTGGGAACGATTAGGAGAAATGGCAGTCATCAATGGTGGGGTCTACTTATAGCTCTGTGGTGGTCGCTAGGCATGTGGGGACACGTGAGCCAAGACAGTCACCCATGCCATCCTGTGTGGACTGTGCCTCCAGGAGCGACCAGCACTGCCCACGTCTCTGACCAGCACCCGGCCCCTTCCAGGGGGCCCTTCCCTGCGGGTCTGCTGTGCCCAGGATCTCTGTCACAACCAGTCCAGCATTTCTCAGGAGCAGAAAGTCAGCAATTCTAATCCCCTCCCAAATAGGGACTCAGCTCCTTGATTCTCCTTCAGTGCTCAGATGCCACCAACTGAGCCATTTTTGGGTGATCCACTAGCTCCAAACACGTGCACCCCCCCACTGTGGTCTCAGGCCCTGCAGCTGGAGGGTCTGGGAGGTGGGCAGAGGGCTGAAAGGGCCCCATCACCTACCAGGTGGGCACAGGGTGCCAGCAGCAGACCCTCTTCAAGGAAGAACCAGCGACACACACTGACATGAAATGAGAAGTTTCCAACATTTGAAAGGCCCTGAGAGACAACTTGTGGGGCCTCCCAATGCGCAAATCTGGGACCATTTCAACCACACACAAATAGTGACGACAACAGAGTATAACTCAGAATAATACGCCTGTCCATGCATTTATTTGGTATAAATAAATAATCAAAGAAAGAAAGACGGGGGGGGCGGGGGGGCGGGGAGAAGGGACCATTCCTCACAGGAGAATTCCAGGCAAAAAATGCGGAAGGAATGATGGAAACAAAAAATCATCATTTGGAAAACACTAATAATATGGTTTCTGTTGAGAACCATCTGATGGGTGTGAAAGTAGGTAAAAATTTGATAGAACACAGGATATTTACATATTACCGAAGTCTCAGCCCCTCCCCTAAGATACCTGTTAATGACAAAGGGACCAACTTTAAAGTGGAGAAACCCAGCAGACCTCACCTTAGCTAAGTGAGCTGCAGCGATGAGAAAAATGAACCTCTCCAGTGATGAGAACTATTGTTATTGTGTGTGTCTCCTGACGTAACACACTAGGAAGGACACAGCGCCACTTTTATGGTATTATTCCCCAAAATGCTTATTCTGAATTTCATCATGAGGCAAATTTAGGCAAGTGTCCCCAAACGAGGACACCTGTACATTTTGTACTGGCCTGTCCTCTTCAAGAAGGTCAAGGTCATGAAAGACAAGAGAAACTAATCCAGCCACTAGCCTGGATTAAAGAAGGTTTGACCACGAAATGCAAAGGCCGCATCCCGAGCAGGGAAAAAAAGACATGAGTGGGGCAACTGAGGAAATGTGGATACAATTTACAAGTCACTTAATGACCCTGTATCAGTCTTCAGTCACGTAGGATGTGACCCCTGGGGAAGCCCAGCGGAGGGTATCATGGAAATCTTTGTGCTATTTTTGCAACTGTTTTCCATGTCTGAAATTATTCCAAAGTGAAAGATACTTTAAAAAAAAAAAAAGTCCCCGATTTTCTCGGCCTCGGGGAGGCGGCAATGGGTGCCCAGAAACAGGAGTTGCCTGAGGGCTGGGACCTTCTCAGTCACCAGCCTCCTCATCAGGCACAGTGCTGGCTTTGAACATAGGGAGTGCTCAGCCAGGAGCTGGGAGAGGCAGCAAGTAGGGTTTGTCTTCAAAGGGTGGAGAGCACTCTCACTTAGCCAACACTGATCCTGGACCTATTCTGTGTCAGCCATTGGCAGGGCAGCAAGGAGAGGGAAGCTCAGAGCCTGCTGGGGGGAAGGTGGGAAAACGGATCACTCCGGGGAAGGGGCCCCACTCAGTGTGGGGGACCCCGGTGCCCCAAGAGGAGCATTCCTCTTGGAATGCGTGTGCTAGAACCCTGAACAGCGACTTGGCATGGACAGATGAGGTGGCTGGGTCCAGAGGGGCCCTGGGCCCAGTCGATCCTTTGCAGTAGGTTTCCTCCAAGCTGGTGTGGGGAGCGGCAGAGATGTGGGGGTAGGGCAAAGGTTCCAGCCTCTCGTCTGGAGGCAGAATGGATGGGGTAGCGCGGGGCCCAGTCTTAGAGTCATAAAGACCAAGCAAAGTGACATCAGCTCCAGGCTTCGAGGCCTTAGGTGAGAACGAAGAGGGACAGGCCTCGTCCTAGTGAGACAGCACTGGCACACATCCTGCTACCTGGGGCCCTCAAAGCAGGGAGGGTGAGGAGGTCCCAGAGTGTAACATGACCTTGTCCTCATCAGGAGGGTGATTACAGTATAGCGTCTAAACCGGGACACGTAAAAAGGGCGCTATGAATTATTATACAGTGACAATGGGTAACTAAGGTCACCGTACTCATTTTTTTAAATTTTATTTATTTATTTGAGCTAGAGCAAGTGAGAGAGGTAGCACGAGCGGGGAGAAGGGCAGAGGGAGAGAGAGGAGCAGGCTCTCTGCTGAGCAGGGAACCCGAAGGGGGCTCGATCCGGGGACCTTGAGATCGTGACCTGAGCCAAAGGCAGATGCTTAACCAACTGAGCCACCCAGGCGCCCCTAAGGTCACCGTACTTATACAGGACCTTTGGCCTGGAAGAAATTCCCACTGCATGGGTGCACACAGAGCCCCAGGGTGCTATGGATGCACAGGGACAGCCCTCAGCCTTGGCAGTGGGGATGTGCGAGCCGAGCAGGGCTTCCTTCTCAGGTAACCAGAGGGAGCTGGGTGTTCACGACCCACCTACACATTCACCCGGGGTCCTGGGTCAGCGCACTCCTGGTGGCAAGGGGGACGGTTGGCTTAGGACAGTGCGGTTGAGGAACACCAGAAAGACAGACAGAGGCAGGACAAGTGGCTGAGGCTGCCGGCCTCCCCCGCAGCAGGTGACCACATGCCGGTGGGCGGAGGGCAGAACTTACCCGTGCATGCCGTGGACAGAGTGGGGCTCATAATGGTACCTTCCCTCCTGGTGTCTCATGTCAATCGGTAAGGGAGCATGGAGCGGTGGCAGAAGGTGCTGCGGCACTGTGGAGTGGGAGAGAGAAACAGGCCTTCAAAAACTTTTCCCCTCCCTCCAAAAGCCATTTTCGAAGGGCTTTAAAGCTCAATGAATTTCAGAGCCCGAGTAGCCAGGACAGGGAGCTCCACGCGGTGCCCTGGCTATCACACACCCACGGAAGGGGATGAATAAATAATCAAAGGCAGCCCGAGGATCCTACATCTTTCACATAAAAGATCCCCAACCGCGCTCTTGACAAAGACAAGCAGCTAAGCGCTCTTTGAACTCGGGGAGATTACAGGCTCAGCCGCAAATCAGGGCTGACAGAGCTGGCAGACTGCTGCCCATCTCGGCCTGGGCTGCGTGTGGCTCCGGATGCCGCAGTCACCCTGGCTGGAAATATTTACCTAGAACCATCTGTGAAGCCAGGGCCCACTCCCGGCGCGGCCAGCCTCAGGAAGGCCCAACCCCGCCGAGCCGCCTGCCCCGTTCTGTTGGGTCTGTTAATTCTGCAGCTCTTCGTATTAATGACTGACCCCCAAATGAGCTGGTGGGTGCCTCCAAGACGCAGACGCCAGCACGTGAGCCTCGCTTCCAGAGTCGTGTCAGCCTCCCGTCTGCACTTGGCCTGCCCTCAACAAATCATCGTGGTAATTGTAGGATGCTCTTTGCTTATTTAAAAAAAAAAAAAAAAAAAAAATCCTGGGTCCCCTGGAGGCAAACATAATTATAGGCTTTAGGAAAACAAGCCTCTTTAAAAAGTAGTTAGACTGAGAAACGGGCTAAGAAGTGGCGATTTCTCAGTCAACTCTTACTTGGGTTGAATGCCACGGGCCAGCAGGCGTGCGTGTGGAGTCTGAATTGCAGAATCCTCGCAAGAGATGGGCATGGGTTTGTTTCTCGTGCGTATAGGTCGGCTGACTGCCCAGCCTACTGTAAGGGATGCAGACACATAATTCTGCTCTCGGTTTCCCTGCAAACAGGTCCTGGGACTGTCCCATAAGCACTATGAATTCTTTTTTTTTTATTGTGGTCAAATATATGTAACATAAAATTTACCATTTGAACCATTTTTAAGTGTACGGCTCAGTGGCATTAATACATTCAACTTGGGGGGCAACCACCATCCATTTCCAGAACTTTTCCATCTTCCCCAGCTGAGACTCTGTCCCCATTAAACACTAATTCCCCATTCCTCCTCTCTCCCAGCCCCCCGGCAACCACCATTCGCCTTTCTGTCGCCATGAGTCTGACTATTCTACATACCTCATATGAGTGGAATCGTACGATATTTGTCCTTTCCTGTCTAGCTCATGTCACTTAGCATAATGTCCCCAAGGTTCATCTGGTATAGCATGTGTCAGAAGTTCCTTTTTAAGGCTGAATGATATTCCACTGTATGGATGTATTCCTGGTCTGGCTATCCATCCACTTGTCAACAGATACTTGGGTTGAACACCATGAATTCTTTTTTTTTAAGATTTTTTTTTAATTTTGCAGGTGCCTGGGGGGCTCAGTTGGTTAAGCATCCGACTCTTGATTTCAGCTCAGGTTGTGATCTCAGGATTGTGAGATGGAGCCCCTCATTGGGTTCCACAGTTCGTGTGGAGTCTGCTTAAGATTCTCTCTCTCCCTCTGCCCCTCCCCACCCCTGCTTGTGCACACTCCCTCTCTTAAAAAAAAA